ATTACTACGTTAATTAACAGCAATTAATTATAAAATAGCTAACCTACGGAAAGATGAATGTATGCGCACTTAGTAAGAGACGCTGCCAGAACGGGACTCGCTTTAAAACCCCGGCAAGCCCCGGCCCTTGCACAGCACACAGGTAAGCCCGGTGTAACCGGAGGGCGAGTCGGGTATAGCACTGTATGAAAGGCTTAGTGCCATTTTTTTTTTTCCCCCTCCAAAAAGCAGGAGAAATAGCAGTTCCTTTTTTCTGGTTCTAGCTCAATCTGAAACAAACTCAAACATGGGGACACTTTTTTTTTTTTTTTTAACCAGCTTCAGGTACAGCAATGCAATGTTTTCCCTCACAGCTGGTTCCTTTGTGCAAAAGGATGACTAAGATCAGCATTTATGCATTACTCAGAACAGCTTAAGAATCTTAAAACTCTCTTAAAAATTAGTAAGTTGGAAAGCTGCGACATGAACTGTTACCAGTAAATTGCTCTTCTCCACTCAAACGCACAGCAATCTTGTAATACAGATCCACAGAAATAAGCTCGTATTTCACACCAGACGTGAGAAGTACACCCTGGCAGTTGTAAACTGCAACTGGTATAAAAGCCTAGAGAGAATAGAACCTAAGCTGCACGCTGACTGTTGTATTCTTGTACTTTGCAGATATCTGAACCAAATGAGTTTGACATCATGCTTGTAATGCCTGTTGTGAGGCTTCAGCTGGATGAATGCGATGACACTGGAGCCTATTATTACCTAAGATTCAAAAGAAATCCAAAAGAAAAAGATTTGTTGAAGTTTGTAGATGAAGATGGAAAATTATCAGCCTTTAAAATGCTTCAAGCACTACGAGACATTATTAAACAAGAAGTAAAAAATATTAAAGGTAAGTACTGAGAGAACAAGCTTCACCTAGGGGTGCTAAAAATCCAGTTATGTTGCACATATGCATTGCCCTGTTGTTAATAAAATGTGATTTTCCCCCCCCCTCCCCAGTCAGCTGTCTCTTTGTGGCAATGTAGCTGTAACTGTAACCCCTCCTGTCCCCAGTATCTCAAGTTTGCTCTTGTGCTAAGAATCGCCACAAATCCATCAGAGCTAATCATATGCGATTAACCCATTGATCCACTATGCAATCCTCTGTCCATATGAAAATAATGAATATTAAGAGTTCTGTCGCATGCTTGGTACTTCCTCCATGATCTATGTATTTCGAATCTATCGGCTGTGTACAGAGAGCCATTTGCTGAACGGGTACCAGAGGGAAGAGCTTTCTTTTGTACATTACCTAATATTTTATATTGATCTATATAGAAAACATATATTGGAAAACATTACTGTATTTCTGATTCTGTAGACACAGTAAATTAAGCAAACACAACAGTTCAAGAAAAGTGTTCCTTATTTCATAGAACTCCTCAAAAGGCCACCTTTAATATTTCATTTAAAATCCATATCCTGTAGGATAAAGAGCCAGTGACTGAACCCAGGTATTTTATTTTGATTGATATGAATTCTTCTTAAGTAAAAACCTTCACATTCTTCAAAAAGCTTTCTAATATATACCTATATTAAAAAAACCAAACATTTTTTCTTTGTTACTAGATGCAGAAGTAACTGTGAAAAGGAAAAAGCCTGGAAGCCCTGCAATAACTCTTCAGATCAAAAATTCTCAAGCAGAAGTATCAGTGGACATAATCTTGACTTTGAAAGTTCAGCAGAGCTGGCCACCTAGCACACAGGATGGCCTCAAAATTGAAGAGTGGCTGGGAAGAAAAGTCAGGCAAAAGTTCAGAAATCAATCACTTTATTTAGTAGCCAAACAAAACAAAAGAGAAAAGGTTCTAAGAGGTACCTTACATACAGACGATAAGTTCTGACATATCTTCTCTACAACTTGATTGCTTACAAGTGCTATAAAAAGGGTGTCCAGATTCTGTTCACTATTCTGCCTTCAAGGTACAGATCTTTACCTTATCCTGCATAAGGATAACAGGTGAAAACTCTCTTTAAAACATCAGATTGGTGACACTGCTTGTCCTGTAGAGATCTAAAGGCAAAACTGCTCGGCTAGGCTGTATCCTAACCTCTCCTAAGAGCATTACATTAAATCTAAGTCAGACACACAGATATGAACCTTTCCTGTGCTAGTGCTGTACTTAACAGCAACAGCCACTCCTTTGCTTTGTAAGAAAAAAAATAAAAGGAGATTTCTAAAAAGGCAGGGAACATCCCTGTAAGTGGTCCTGCATAGACAGGTTACATACTTCTGCAGGAAGTAAATAAACTGTGTACTTTTCTCAATGAGAAATAATGTATCTTGTGAACTCTGGTATGACTACAACATAGGTGTTTTTTTTTTTCACTCCAGATGATTGTCACACCAAGCCTCCCTTAGTTTGCAGAAACATCCCAACTTGTCATTGTATTACAAGAACTGATGATTTCAGCAAAAAGAGTTCAGACAATCTGGTATTTTTTTTTAAAAATTAGCATGCCCATCTTATCAACACCAAAGAAATCATTACTGTGTTGCTAGGCTGTCTCTTCCTGTGAAAGTTAAATGCAGAGAGTAACTGAACCAAAGAGGTGAGGGCAACAGTCTAATGTATGTAAGGGGGATAAAAATGAATCCCTGTGTTTTAAAAACAGGGGAATGAGCTACGTTAATCATTGTTTTCAGAAACATGACCAGAAGAACAAGAATAAATGCTTTAAAACAGTCACCTTACCAAACTCGCAAGCCTATTACTTGCACAAAGAAGTTGAAAACAATGGTGAAGTTGGTTTTTTGTTGGTTTTTTTTTTTTTTTTTCTTTTTAACTCAGAACCAGAATGGTCACACAGTAAGGCTAAGGCTACAGAACAGAAATTCAAAGGTAGTAGATTTCTATGAGCAGTGTAATTCCCCAAGTCATGTTCAACAAATGCAGGAAAGTTCAGAATTAAGCTTAAAGTAAATCCAACTATCCTTAAGAACATAGTTAAAGCATCCAAACAATTAACTATATCCTGTTTCAGTAACATTCTAATTGTCTTTGTGTGGAGCAGCTGGGGAATTAAGGAGGAATTAGCTAATTGTAGTCAATGAATTATGTGTGTGTGTGTGTGTTTTTTTTTTCTTTAAAGTGTAAAGAAATTGCTGCTATTCAGAATTAAGTCAATTATCTTTTTTTCTAGTTAAGGACACTGGTAGTTACTGCTATGTAACAATTGAACAATCTTGTGCTCCACTTCAGGAAACACCTGGCGACTCTCTTTCTCCCATATTGAGAAGGCCATGTTGAACAACCATGGCAATGAGAAGACATGTTGTGAATCTGATGGACCAAAGTGCTGTAGGTCAGTATTTCGTATTAATATTTTACTTTAAGCCTGTGTAAGCCAGACTAGCACTGTTTCAGTTTAACACTTAAGAATTTGATCTAAGACTAATTACTCATAACAGGGAGCAAGACTAAGGCTTTTAGGCATCATTGTTGTACTGCTGTAGAACATGGCAGGTACTTGCTGAACATCTGACTTCCACTTACTCGAGAGGTGGAAACAAATCATGTTGCAGGTTTACACTCCAGACCTACCTCAGAAAGCAAAGCGATGCAACTTGTTAAATAATCTTTCCCAAACTCAGTCCTGTTTAGAAGAACCAGCTTAAAAGTCTGATGACTCAGCTTTCTGAGCTTTGGGAGAAAAATTACACTTCATACCAAGACAATTTCTAGAATGATAGTGAGAAAAAGACCTGCGGAATGGGATCAGGATGAATAAATGTGATTCTTCACTCCAATAAGAACTTGTTTCCACATTTCTTCAAAGAGAAAGAGCAAAACCCACATAAGGCACAGAACCTCCTTAATGGCAAACTACTTCTTAGTTTACTTAATTACAGCTTGTACTGAATCGAGAAAAATCACAAGAACAAATGCATAATTCTTTTGTCTTTGCTTTAGGAATATTATCAGACATGCTATGCCCCTACTTACCTGTGTATTAAACTATATCTACCTCTTCCCCTTGTGGGGTGCCGCAGGAAGGCAGTGGCGTTTCCTTCAGCATAAATCCAAGCCAAAATGGCAGCTTTCGTCTTAAGCAGTGATCCCAGGTCATATTATACTGAGCTTCTGAAGCTGGGAGACCACACCGTGTAAGCATGCTGCAGACCAACGTATTTCTGAGTTGCTGTGGCTACCAGTGAAACTGGTACATGCACAAAAACTATTGTGTAAAAGTAGAAATCCTTCATTGCTAGAGTCTGACTTCATATGCAGTAGTTCTAGGATTATCCAGCTTACTGCTGCACTTATTTTGAATAAAATCTGAAAATATTACTGAAAATGTTATTCTATTTGAGTAAGGACATTTTTATTGCTTTCATGAATAATGTTCATCTAAATATCTAAAATACATTTTTAGAACTACGTAGAAGGTACCTAATAAATTATTTATTTAACAGGAAAGGTTGTCTTAAGCTTCTGAAGTATCTTCTAGAACAACTTAAAATTAAATATACAAAAGAGTTGGAAAAATTCTGCTCGTATCATGTCAAAACTGCTTTATTCCACTCGTGTGTCATCTGGCCAAAGGACACAGACTGGCATTTGGGAGACCTGGATCAATGCTTTCAGAAATACCTGGGATATTTTCTGGATTGCCTGCAGCAGTCTCAGCTGCCACACTTTTTTATTCCCCAATACAACTTGCTCAGCCTGGAAGATAAAGCGAGGAGTGCTTTCCTCTCAAGACAAATACACTATCAATTGAACAACAGATTCCCAATATTTCAGGAGATGTATTAAAAACGTTGCTTTCAGTAACTACCTAATCATGTAGATTTGCATATTTAAAACCAGAAGTTCTGCACCCTAAGTTACTCCTCAGTAACAGTACTACACAAACCAAAACAAAATCAAGAACACTAACAGGAAATCACATACTTTAGTCACACTGGTTAGCTATAACCCTTAAAAGAAATACAACCTTTTAAGTAATATTTATCTTCCTTATCCAAATGTAGATGTCACCTGCAAAATACCTTCAAGGTATATGAAGAACATATAAAAGAATTTGCAATAGTTAATTTCCCACATGTAATTTCTACAATTCCAAATATAAAGGCATCAATGACTGGGTAAAGTGAAAAATAGCAATTTTATTTAAAATGAAGACTGACTGCAGAATATCCAAAATACACTCTTGCTTTCAAAAGAAAAAAGAAAAAAAGTCTCTGAAGATTCTTTGACATAAATCAGAACAACTTCTCCAGATCAAGTGTGTGGATGAAGACCGTTTGCAGAAAACAATCACCAGCAACAGTGAGCAGAGACAGAATACGGTATCAAAACTTATCTTTTCTGAGTCTTCAGAATTGCTCTGGATATTAAGTCTTTTCATTGGACTTTGGACAGGAAGGAATCGTTACCTAATGTGCTGCAACAGAGTAAAAGCTATTGTGCCAGTGAGCATTTGTGTGATGAACCTTGTAAAAAGAAACACGTTTTCAACCCGTATCAAGGAGGAAGAGTCTCCACGTGAAAGGTTATCAAAACCAAAATGCAGCAGGAATCTGACATTCTCAGAATCAGAATTCGGCTCAGTTTTCCTTATGTTGAAGAGCATGAGTGTTAGGGAAAAAGAATAATTATTTTATTTCCTATTACTAAAATTGTGCAGGTGATAAATGCACAACATTTGGGAACTGCCGCACTGTAAGTAAATTCACCTTTTGCTTTTTCTTAAAGAAGCCATGGGAAGTCCATAGTTTTAGCTTACTTTTTCAAGGCAAAAAAACCTACTGGCTTAAATAATGCCTAGATTTCACCTCAATTATGAGCAAATAAAAAAAGAGGGAAGGCCGGAAGAACATTTAGAGAATAATTTTACTAAAATATTCTCATCTCACTGGATTCAGTTTATTAGTTTTTCACTTCCTCATATGACACACGAGTAAACACAAGTTCAGACCAAGCATCAAATGAAGGAATAGCTCCTTCCCGTATAACTTCCAAAGAGTGAAAACACACCCCGTTACCATTAGCATTCTGTGTGACAAAACCTGACAGGCAAGTGTAAAATTTCAATCAAGTTTATCTGAAAGAAATAAAAGCTGACCTTCAAATGTATTTTTTCTTCATGACTTTGTTAACATTGCTCTAGTAAACTCTGGTTTTCTTCCTTAAGCTAGAAAATTACATCCATGAGAACAAGAAGCTGAGTTTTTTTCCCAGTTAGCCACAAACACATATTTCTTGGTATGCTCTCCTCCATTAGGAGGAAATGCAAGCTTCTCTCAAAAAAAGCTTGAGATAAGTCTTAACAAAAATTACTTTCAATGTCAAGTTTTTAAAGAAATAAACAAAAAACCCCTCTTGCTTCAGCAAATGTCAGTTACTGCAAACACAGCAGTTTTCAAATAACTAAGTTATCCTTGGAAATACTTCTGCATGCCACTGGCAGATGTGGTGTATCAATGCCAAAGTACAGTATTTTGAAGTCACACTGACAAACATTGCTTACATTCACTAATCCAGTTCTCTGAAAATAAAAGGAAAAATTATGTTTTACATTCTTATATATTAATATTGCATTTAACTAAAAAAAAAAAACCAACAAAACCAAACCCAAACCCCCAATATTTGTTTTTAACCAGTAGATAATGGCTTTAGAAGTTACGCGCATCACATAAGAAAAATTTATTAATTTTTTTCTTAAGTGAAAATAGTGTCCAAGCACAGAACTAGATTTATATACAAAGTTAACCCAGTTTTCTTTTCTAAGCCACTTTTAAAAACACATTTTATTTAAATGGCACAGGTACAGAAAACAACCAACTGAAAAAAAACAAACCACTTTTAAATACAAGCCCATAGATGCTAACACTAACTATAATCACTTACTTTGTTTCAGTAACTTCAAGGGATTAGAGTTATTTTGAGGGCTTTCCCTGAGGTCTTCGCATATCCTTTTCAATTTCTTTTCTGATTTGAAATTGTTTGTATTTTTCTGCCATTGCAATAAGCTCATCAGGAACTATCTGATAAGGAAGCAGCACAAGAACAAGGTCAGTTCTAAATAAATCTAAACTTTTAGACTCTGCTTTACAAAAATGCTATTGATTTGTGTGTTCCCAAACTTGATTTTGTTATTCATCTGGCTCCTGTCACTTTGCAGATTTGTCTTTTCTGTAGAGATTCAGAGAAATCTTTTTACATAAAATTATACTGAAATGTACTGAAAAATAATCAGCACAGTGTCCCTGGATTTTCAATTACATATGTACACCAACATCACCGTATCTGGTGACAACATATAACCAGCTAATTAAAACATTTGTATTTCAGATAGAAATGTATTTTTCAGTGATAATGAACAGCTGGAAAAAACATCCAATGCCACTAAAAGGTGATACCATCCTATATAAGTTTGAAAGTTACACTATTATGATTGATACTAAATTCCTTTTGTAAGTTTTAAGAGCCTCTGAACAGAAACTTTGGTACTTAAAGAAAGCGTTGCCATAGGAAGCATTCTCGCATGGATAAAGCAAAGCAAAAAGACAAGAAAAGGGCAGGAGAAAGCGGTCAGTTCTCCCACCACTGGGAGGTCACAAGAGCATCTTACCAAGATCCATGGTGAATAGTATCATCAGCACACTTGGTCACCTCAGAGTTACTCACGTTCCTAAGGACTGAGGCCAGATGCAGAGAATTGCAGACAGACTTTATTAGGTTGAGTGACACTGATCACTGAATGAAAGAACCGCCCCCCATATCATTCTTATAGATCATGGAACAAAGGCAGTGCCCAACAAGCCTTCTTAAACCCCATCAGGCATAATGCAGACATTAATGTGATGCTTGCTGCAAAAAGCAGTACGGGTGACTGTACTGTCACAAGAGGTTTTAGATCACTGATGTATCAAAGCCAGCCTGCTTCAGCAATCTGCTACAGCACGTAGCCACGCAGCAGGGAGAAGACACCCAGTCCAGAATCAGTTTCCTGACCAGAGAGTGAAAAGCAGGCTTCTGCGGTGTGAGTGAGCATGGTATGAATGCGATCGCTCAGCCTCTGTGGTTTGTCCCTCCACGAGTGGCACAAATACAGTGCAATGCCAGGACAAAGGGCCTGGTGGAGCAGGAAGGTGTATTCCTCCAGTTCCCACCTCTTTTGTCAGGCTTTATAATTCAGCCAATGCTTGCCATTTGCTATCATCAACTTTTCTTAAGCCGGCGTGAGTGTCAGCACATTTTATGTGCTGAATTGCTCTTACCGGTAAAGAGCTGCCCTGACTGTCAGGAGCAGACGGAACAGGATGCCTACGGAACAGTCTATTCTGCCTAAGTTTTAGGCATTGTTTGAAAATAAAGTGAAAAATGATGCATATCTCTAGCTGAAAGTCACTACAGACTTGTATGGCTACGGAGACAGAAGTAATGAGACAAAGTTAGTTTTCAGTTGAAACACTGGATGATTTTCTTCCTCAGTATCAGATCAGATCCCCTCCTACAGCATGAAACAGAATTTATTCCAACTCAAATTTCAACAATTTCTTGCAAGAGTGGTTTTTGAGCAGGCACAAGGGAAGAGTGGGAAGAAGCTAGGATATGGAACATAAAAATCTCAGTGAGGTAATATCCAGCATCTAGTGGTTTCTTGAGGTTTTTATGTGGACAATCTGCACATCTGCTAAACATATAAGCTAGCTATGGTAGTCCAAATGAGAAAACAGAAAATAAAGATGCTGTAATTTATATTTAACACTCTTCTTGGTATCACAGAGATCGGTGTTTTTCCCCCAAATTCCTTAATAAATCTGTCCATGCTGCTTAATAGGCTTTATATTTAAAGATCCCTGCAGCATGATACAGAAATCTTTCAGTTGTATCTGTTTTTCTTCATATAATCTGTATATTCAAAATCATGGAGAACATCCGGCTAACAAATGCACCTTACTTGTTTTGAAATTGAAGTATTCCGAATCTTCAGACCATATTTCAGCTGCTTTCCTTCCATTTTACATGATGCTTTAAGACTGAAGTACTGACATTTTCATTGTCATGAGGAAAAAAACCCCCTGCCTGTATGGATACTTCCCTTCTATCAGCTATAACTAGAAGTTTGAGAATAATGTTGTGACTAACAGTTACCCTTGAAAGTAAGGATTCAGAGATGCTCTTTTCTCCTCTGAACTGAGAGACCTGTTCCCAGTTGAATTATCACATGTTAAAAAAAGTTTGGGAACTTCAGTCTGCAGCAGGAGACAAGGCATGGATGGGAATGGCTGACTCGATACAGAACAAGGTACCTCTAAGTTCTATTTAAGTGGCTTCAAAGTATCATTACTGGTTTAATCTCTTACATTTTCTGAAAAAAACAAACAAATCCCAAAACCTGGAATTTTAACAAATTATTAGAGGACAACTCTTATTTTTTTTTAAAAAAACTTCTCTGCTCTCAAAAGCATCTTATCAGGTTTGCAATAAGTGGCATAATGTCTTTCAAAGAGAAGGTGTGAAACAGAAGATTCAGATCAAGTTCTAAGTCAGGGTTTAAACTTTGAGTAAACGTCCACAATAATAACCACAAGTCCTAGGTAAAAGCAATTTAGTTTGTACTCAAACTCCCATCCCCACAAATGAAAAAAAAAAAAAAAATTAAATTTCAACCCAAGTCAGGGTAGGAACTGGGGGTTTACTATAAACCAGGCAAAATACAGTTTCTTGTTACAGTAAGAAACAGCAACATAATTGTCTCTGGCTTCTCAGATAGGGTCTCAAGGGAAAAAAAAAAAAGTTACTTT